GCTGAACCGCCGGGTCTGCCAAGTCATATTCTGATCGGCGTCCCTGTTGCTGGTGTGGGTCCGTGTAGAGCTCGACCTCCTCTAACGCCACTTCCCCTGCTAGTCGCCAGCCTTTTGAGATGACCCCGTGACCCGCAAAGAACTCTTGCAAAACGAGCCCCGAGGGGCCTCCTGCACTCGTGCACTGCACGACTCTTCTCGTATCGTGTTGCCCCCCCGCCAGCACCGTTGCCAACGACGCCAAACATGACTTCTTGCGAACCAAAGTGTCGATCTCCTGAGTCCCTGCCTTCTTCAAGGGTTTACAGTGACGACAAACGACATGTCCTGGGGCTGTCCTTGGCTGATCATGACGTTGGTGCCAAAAGTAATGAAATCCAAGGCTAGGCGTGGAGAAAGTGTCCTTGTCGATCACCGCCTCCGCAGCAGCCTGACTTGGGGGCACCAGCAACGTCATATGGCCTTTCCAGACCAAAGCCCAAATGTCAGGTTGGCCTTTGCTCCATTGGCTACCGGCGATGACCTCTGCAAGCACATCCCCTTTGTAATCCACCCTTAAAACAATCAAACGTGTAGCCGCCAACTCCTCCAAGGGGAAGACCGCCGTCGCCCGGTAGTCCTTGTCGTGGTGGATCTTGAGGATGTCATGGGTGTACATGCGTAGCTCGTGCTCCACAGCCGTGACCTTCACCTCCGGGTGACCCATCAAGGCTTCCGCCTCTGCAGCCTGACGGGCTTGTTCGAGCCGGAACTGCTGGCTCAACTCTTCAACCTGTTGCATCGAAGGCACCTGCTTGGTTGTATTCAAAAGGCACCCCGCGGCCAAGACCTTTGTGACGCACTGCCTCTTTTCAATCTCCGGAGCCACCACGCCTGTAAGCCCTGCAAGTTCCTCCGTCATGAGGATCTCCTCCTTGAAGTCGTACATGGCCCAGGCATGCTGATCAATGTCGACCACTGCTTTGCCGGGTCCATCGCCGTCCCAGTGGGTCTCACCAATGCAACACCTCCTCGCGTGCCCTGCCTTGCCTCCCTCATGCTTCTCCAAGATCGCTGCCGCTTCTGCTGCTAGCTCTCCCAGCCCATACTGGACCATGTCGTCCAAGAGAGAGGTCAAAGTCAAAGATGGGTCGTTTGCGACACGAGTCGAAGCCCAGGCGTAGAGGTCATCTGATGCGTCTTCCAGAGCGCTGAGCACCGGTCCTTTGGCCAGCCGTTGTGCTTGTTGAAGCAGAGCCTTCACATCATCCGGGGCTGTGCTCCCATCTCGCCCAGCATGGGGTTTTGCATCATGCGGGATGTGCTCAAAGATCTTCTCGTCAGGGCCTTTGACAATCTCAGCAAACTCCTGCTCTTGTGTCGTATAATCTACATTCTGCATCTCCTCAGGTGCTTGCCACGTGACCCCTCCGGCCCGGCTCGCCTCATGTTGCCCTTCGCCAGCGGGATCGGGTCCACTTTTCGCTGTTGCCCCTCCTTGCCCTCCTTGTCGCCGATCTTTGCCGTCTTTGATCTTGGCCTCCTTGTCCTTGACAATCTGCGCGCGAAGCTCCTTGATCTTCTCCCCCGCCGACTGTTGCGTCTCCTGTCGCATACGCTTGAGCCCTCCTCGTCGTAGGATCTGCATCCTCACTGTTGGGTCCAAAGCCTCAAACGTTCCCTTCAATGCTTCATGGGACCTTTGGCAGTTGGCCTGCAAGCAGCCCAGGTGTGTCAAATGTCCCCAACACAAGAGCTTGCCGTCCTTGTCGGTGGGAGCTCGGTCCTTCGCCCGATTGGTTTCTTCCTGAGTCAGCTTTGGTCCCAGCAAAGCCTTCACGGTGAGCTTGTCGTCCTGTCCTTGCACTGCTCCACTGCCACCTCCTGCAGCATGCCCAGGGCCTCGAGCCTTGCCTCCACCCTCCCAAGTCAGCTTCCACAGCAGGCGCTCTTGCCTCCGCTCAATCCTAGGCAACACCTCTGTCAGAAACCATCCATCTGGGTGATTGAGGTCAAACGTTCGAGGAAGCTGCAGAGGAGGTTCGCCATGTTCGTCTGGCATCAGCGCATAGAACTTGAGGTCCTGTAGGGACATGGTCTCTCGGCCGGCCTGTGACTTGATCTTCCTCAGCTCGCTCTTGAGCTCCTCAAAGAATCGCCAGTGTAACTCTTCCCACACATCCGCCAGGACCTGCAACGGCCACTTGTGGGGAGCTTGCACATGCCAGGCGCCCAACAACTCAGCCGCATGAGTTCGAACACCTGCCCATTCCTTCCCATAAACCAACGCCCACACCGCATTCTGGCGTTGCACTCGGTTGGCCCAGTCTTCATACCTCGTAGGCAAACTTGGTCTCTGGTCACTGGCTGGCTTGCCAGTCCGAGCATCAATTGCATACTGATCCAACTCAGCATCCGTGCACGGCAAGAAATCGGCCGCAGAAAGAGAAAACTTCTCCTGTGTCCCCCAGTAAGGCCCAGCCAGGCCTACGGCAAGCCGAGGAGTGACCTTCTGTCTGAATCCTGCTGCACGTAGCTTGGTTGATGCTCCAGCCTGGGCAGAGAGTAACGCTGTCGCAAGACCAGCTCCATGTTCTCCTGCCCCAACCTCGACAGTGTACTGCCCACATGCCCGCAGCAAGAAAACCAGCTCCTCTGACAGTCTGCTCAGACCCTTGACCGTACCATTGGGGACATTGGTGTTCTCATTCTGCGCCTTCACAAGCGATGCGAGCTCCGACGTCTGCTGTTGGATGGCCTTCGCAATCTCCGCAATGGGCTCACCTCCTCCATCGCCTGTACCTGCCTTCCGATCTTGTCCATAGATCCCCGGTGAAGGAACAACCGCAAACGTTCGTTGACCTTGTCCCCCACGTTCAGCACCTCCTCGTTCTCCTGAATTGCTCTTGGCGACAACCTGCTCAGGCTCGCCTCCTCTGGGTGTCTCGTCCTCAGGGCTACCCACCATGCTCCATGGGCTCTGGCTACTCTGAGATCGATCGGGAGTGCTAGCCACTGCCAGTTGTTTCCTCCACTTGGCAAGAAACTTCGTGAGGCCTTTGGTGCCCTTTCGCTGCTCCTCAGTGGCCTGCTCATACAGCATCTTGGTGAAGGCCCCGACCGTCAAACCATACCTGGCCGCCAGTTGAGCGCGAACATCATCCTCGTCGAGACCCAACTCTTTGCCCTCCACCAGTTGCTCCATGAATTCTTCCAACGTCGTCTGAACTTCTCTCCGATCTGGGGAGTTGACCATTCCCAGACGAGCCAAACTTCTTTGAACTCCAGAACGAGGTGTCCTGCCAGGTGAGCTCTCAGGTTTTGGCCTCCTTCTCTTCACCGCCTCGGTTTCCATGGCCTCCTCACCTCTCATCTCGTCCAGGAGCTGCTCCGTCTCTTGCACCTCCATCGTGACCGCCTGTGGTTTCCCTCGTCGCCGAAGACCTTCAGCTCTGGGTTCATCATTCTCCTCCTCTGGCACCTCTCTTGCTCTCGATCTCGACCGTGAGGAGCGCCTCGAAGCCGTCGGTCTCGCCTCCTCAGCATGTGATACACAAAGACGAAGCCCTTGAGGTCCAGGTAGTCCCAGCCGCTCGCAGTGTGGAATGGCGCACTTAAGTTGGAAACGACCCTTAAGATATTCGGAGCTATGTTGGGGGCACAGATGACAAACTGACCTACCATGAGGAACATCTTCACTCAGCAACCTAGCCTCTGTACAACTACCGCCTGTACACACGCTAGAGCTAAGACGTCTCGATCCAGCTTCGTCCTCCCAATGGACCAGAAAGGCATCGCATTTCGCCACCTCAGTCTCGGATTCGGATGCAAAGTCCTTCGCCTTCTGCACCGCCTTCGTCGCCCCTTTGCTCATCCACCCAAACAGCTGCGCTCCGGCTTGTTGAGCACCTTGCGAAGCCGCCGCCAGTTGGAACCGTTCAGCATGAAAAGGTTTTGCAACCGCATACTGTCGAAAATGTTGTCCTTCTTCTTGACAAGCTGCATGGCGACAAAGATGAAAACGATCATGTCCTCTAAGCGCCTTCAGCAGACCTTCGTCTCCTCGTAGGGTGTCAGGATCGTGGGTGACATAGATACCTGAGGATTTGATGCTCGAAGTGTCTTGCACCTTGAACACTGCAGTCAACCCGTCCCTCCGGATCAAGACCCATCGATCCCCGTCATTCCCACGTTTCAGCTTGCGCAAATCCGAGGTTTCGGGTATGTCGCCAGTGTCCGGTCCAAAAAAGACCGCATCTGCTGCTTCCGGCACCCCTCCAGTCGCACGCTGTACGAGGTAGGCCGCGCGTCCACAGCATTTCAACACCGTTCTCACAAGCCAGAAAATCGTCAGAGCTATCCCTACGATGAAAGACACCACCGGCCAGCATAATGCAAATAGGTAGTGGGTGATCACGCATACCACCAGCAGAGCGAGGAGCCTGATGATGAAAGCAAAGCCCGTCCTCACTTGCGTCCAACTTTTCCCAAAGATAAGCCAGCCGACAGCGCTGACTATTGTGTCCAGCACCGTCCATGCCCAGCCATCCCATCCAGAAAAGCTCCAGTGTCGCGGATCAAAGGTTTGGAGACCCTCAGTAGCAGTCCTGTTATACCACCAGTGTGCGAACTCGAAGGGTTCCTGAAAGAAACCTGGCCCTTCAGGTGCAGGTTGTGCCTCTTCGGATCGCTCCCACCAGCCAGGTACTCTGTGCACCATGAGTATCCCCAACGCAAAACGCATGAAGCGGAGCATGGCCTTCGCCACCCCCACAGGAAAAAACTGCCACCCTGAGCCAGATGACTTCACATGCTTCCTATGAACTCTGTGCCCCTAAAGTAACAGTTTTCCCAAACTTCCAAATAGAAACAGACATGACTTGCCAACAGTGAGAGGCAAAACTGTGAACACATGTTTTATATTGTTTTATCATGTTTTTGTCTTTTGACCAACTAGCGATAATTCACTAAACAAAACGGCTTCCTCAACGACACCGGCCCTTGGAGAAGAATCCCCAGTCCTGGGACCCCAGTCGACCAACGCTTTCCGTGTTCCACCGGATTTTGTGAACATGAATGCCTGAGCGGCATGAACTGCCTCCAGCTTTGGATCGATCTCCTTGCCAGAACAAAAATTGTTGAATCATGCGAACTTGCAACATCATGTGTTCATATGTGTTCTATGGTCTTAGTCTTGTCCCATCAGCCGTACAAGTAGTATGCTGTGATCGCGTCCGATTGCCATCATTTCTTTCTTTGCCCACTTTCTGTCTCCTGTGGACGCGGCACCTCTTGCAGAGGTTGCTCGGAGTCGCTACCTAAGAAGAATTCCCGTTCGACGTGCGAAGGAGTCACGCGCCTGACGGAGCGGTAAGAAAAATGTCAAAAGATGCCACAAAAGATATATCATACCATATATATGTACAATATGTATAATGAATAATATATATATATGGTGTGGACTGAAGATGACTTAAGATAGTCTAATAGTCCTGATAGGTTTCTTTAAACACATAAACCATCGTAAACCCATAAACAGCAAAACAACAATCCCAGCTCGCTTGCCAACATGCTATGTAGTAAGCTGATCTGGCCAGATATTCTAACTGGATGTAAACATCTAGATGTGGCTCACTGACTAGGGAGATGTGAAAAATGAGAGGGCCACTAATTTCCGGTATTAGATGTACTAGTATAGTAGTAAAGTCCCTAATCGAGAAAATTGAGTAATTTGGTGCTCTTAAGATAGTCACTGCACACGGGAGAGGGGTCAGTTGCCCCTCTCCCCTGTGCACTCCTGAGCGCTCCGGAGTGTGCTCCGGAGTGCACAGGGGAGAGGGGCAGCTGACCCCTCTCCTTAAGAGCAGCTACATACCATCCTTGACTAATTTCAGCATTTTCTGCATTTTCAATGTTTGAGCAGTGGTGGATTGGATAGTGTGACACGAGAGTTGAACAATCATTGGCTTATTACCCCATAGGGTGTTTTGGGTATTATGATGGATTCTGTTTTCGGGGGAATGGTCACCATTCCCAGTAAAACAAAGTCCAACAATAGTGATCATAACAACGATTATTATTGTAAAACCCATGGTGTAAGCCTGTCATGCCAATCCAATCCATGTGCTGGTACTATTGGACATATATTATATGCATATATACACATATAAACATATATAAACATAATAATGAATCAGAAACAGCTTAACCAATTATATATACATATATATATACATGCATCTAGAGCAAGATACTATATAAGTCATGCTAACGTATGGACAAGCATCACAACATGCACAAACAAATCCCAGCCTTCTGTCGTCGTCCTCCTCCTCCTCATCCAAATCCTCCTCCACGACTGTTTGTTTTTGCTTTAGCGTTGACACACCACTTTGATTGAAATCTTGGATTGAGATTCTGCAATCATCTTGATCTAACTCTAAATCGACACACAAGCTTTTACAAAACTGCTCCGCACCTGAAGCTAGGAATAGGTTAAAAACAATAGGATTGTATAATATTGTATACCTATTGCATATAGTGCTGGTCCTCTTTATTACTGCATGCACTAGCAAGATCCAGCAAGTAGATGTGCAGGTGCTAGATACATAAGACACATGCGAAAACCAGCATGCCAAAAGCATGTCGAAAGCCTCCTATTGGCCCGCACCATGCAAGCCAATTTCATACATCTGCACCTGGTCATCACCGTTCTCAAGCTCGTCTTTGCATCTGTCACTTGCGCGTTCCTTGCAACACGCCGGTGGCACTTGTTGTGAAGCACTAATGAGCTTCCATGACTACGCTGCTATGCTCGCCTTTCCTTCCAAAGAGGACCCAGCCGAGAGAATGCCAATGTTCATCTGATCCGGCCTGAAACACACCTTTGGCTTCGGAACTCTCGTCATGCCCCAAGGTCTTGAGCATTTCTGTGAAAGTGCCATCCTGCGCATGATGAATCCCAATCTGTGAGACCTTCAGGTCATGAGATGGACAATATTGGACAAGGATGAATTGTTCTGGTTGCTTTCCACATATGTTTGCAGCGGGCCATTCGGCTGCATATTCATTTCAGAAGGATGGGGAACGCATGACTCCATGATCTTTGTCTACTGATACTGTATCGGAAGTAAAGAAAATCATAAAAGTCCACGGTACATCGTTTCGCATTCTTGCAAGCTAGAGTACTTCCCGCTAGTCAAGTCCTGACACCGTTTTTCAACACTGAACGCAGAAAATTTCTATGATGACCTGTGATGAAATGAAACCTTATTATACCTCAGAGTCCTCCCCTAGATGGTTCTGCACCTAACAATGGATTACGGCCAAAGCGTTCTTACTAGTATGTATACTAGTATGTATGTATGTATGTATGTATGTATGTCTGTATGTCTGTATGTCTGTATGTCTGTATGTCTGTATGTCTGTATGTCTGTCTGTCTGTCTGTCTGTATGTATGTATGTATGCATGTATGTAACACTGACACTGACATCACTCACTTCTTCCCCTGGCCTCTTCATCTGCCTCAAAGGGAATCATGCCATCATTGCAACTACGATTCCACTGGTTTGATCATAAAAGCTGCGGGTGAGGGGAAATGTCATGAAATATCATCAAATATCAATGTAGCCGAGGTCGAAAACTGGCAAAGTCCCATAGCAAGCACTGATCCCGTGTCAAGAGCAAGCAAAGCCTCATGCACCAAGCATCCACAACGTATCTGATACTTTGCAGTGCAGCCATCTGATCTACTTATGTCCACTTTGCAAAATGCGTCTAAGACTCCATTCATGATGGGCTGAAGCAGTGCCACAGCAAGCCATACATGAATTTCAGGACTGCAAAGGCGGTCTTAGTGTGGGGTCTTGGAATGTCTTGCAGCCCAAGGCACAGGATCCTAATTCTTCAAAGCTACACATCTACCTTGAGTACATTTGAATACCCAAAACCATCATCATCACTTGATCATACTTGGACTATCCGGTGAGAAAGCCCGCAGAGGGTACGGAAATCCAGTGCCCAACCCAATCAGTGCAATTGCACAACTGCATGCAGCCTTGTCTTCATTTCCAACTGTCCAAAAAAGAAAACACAACAAGAGGTGAGGGCCTGGTCCACCATCGCGTTCTGGGAGGAGGTTCAAGACTACGACACGACTGTCAAAGAAATCACTGTTTTTTTCACTGATTTGCAAGTAACTCTGTGCACTGTCTGATTACCAAACTATGCCAAGCTGCTTTTGGCCGCATCCTCAAATAATAGGAACCTGCAACGACCAAATAACTACGTCGGTTTGGTACTGCAATGTTTGGCCCCGGAATTTGATTGACTGTCTCCTGGATGATTCTCTTGTCTCTTGGATGATTCTCACACCCTACTCATGACCTCCACGCATGTACATCCTTTCCGACTAACAATCGGCATGAAATAAACAAAGAAAAACACATCATAAAGCATCCAACTGTACACTCAGCAAGCATGCCGCTGGAAATACTGAACTCTGAGATCTACAGCGTCATATGACAAACAGTATAGAACAAAAACCATCCGTTATTTCTTCGAAACGGCAAAACAATGAATTGCAGCATCTTGTCCGCAATTCATCAGATCGGTTTCAGTTTTTGTCTGACCGAGCCACAGTCCACCAACCCAAAAGTAAATCAGAATGAAGACCTGAGTCATTAAACAGGAGGAGAGTTGCGACGAAAGAATCTGATATAATCTGATGATGTCTGCATGCAAGGTAGTAGCGACTCAGTAGCACAAACAGCTGCAGCCGTACACCTTGCACCACCTTGCAACCTATATTGTTTCAACAATAATACATTCAAACTGCTGTAGAGCCAACCAATATATCGAGCCCGACGTGCCCGAACTAACTGAAACTTGACACTGCCACATCATGAAAATTCATGAAATGTGGTGGATTGTGCATCCGAAGTCAAAGCAGCAGCGCAAGGCGCCACATCTAATGTCTTGCGCCCGGAAGCATAGGAGGATAGTACCAGAATGAAGACTAAGAATAGGAAGAAACAACTCACGGTCGGAAATGCACTGTATACCTGGGCCAGCGGTCAATAGTTTGAACACTGATGAGTAGACAGCTAAGAAACAAACCTTGTAAATGCTCATAAAATGGAAACAATGGAACCTGGCTCAACCTGTGAGTATATTGCACCAAGAGTCAGATCTGTGTCGAGTTCGAAGGTACTCTTGGGAATGGCCCAGGGTTGCCTGTATTCAGATGTATGGCCGTAAGAGTGCATATGAGTGCATGATAGCCTCTGATATCACTGAAGGCATCCGAAGGCCAGGTATGGGTTGCAAATGTGCATCATCAAGGCAAAGGGTGCAGAGTTGAGGAGCACAACAGCATATATTAATATATAATATATAATCAATATAGATAGCAGTCCCTTCAAGCGGTAAAGACAGTGACACTGTGTGACACCACAAAAGAAAACCTATCTTATCAGTACATATCAGTAGAAGATAGTACAAGTATGTATCAATCCTCACCGCAGCTTCTACACAGCTAGTGTGATCTGTGCGGATAGGCGAGCCAAACACAAATCCACATTGCGGATACACTACAGGATGCGCAGGGGCCCAGTATGCGCAGTGTGCGCAGGATGCAATCTTCAGGTGTTTGGTCAAAGGATGTCAAAGGGTTACAGTACTTATGTTGCTGAATTGGACACACAGAGCTTGCTAGCACTTCCAGCACAATGGTTCCATCATTTCTGTTTGAGACCACGTCCAGCAGTCGACCGGCACTTCGGTATTCATGAAAGTGGCCCAAGCTGTACTCTGTCTACTTTGTAGTCTTACTAAAGCTTACGTACCAAGAGCGAAAGAGGTTTATGAAACCAAGTAATGCAGCAAGTACAATTTTCCGATCTGAAAGAAGCCGTGTAAAAGCTCTTTCAAACCGTGAGTTTTGATTCGCAAGTCAATAGAATCATAAAGAAATTAAAGAAGAATTAGTAGAAGCTTCGCCTGGAGCAACGGTGTTCGTTCCATTGAGTCCAACCTGCCAGATTTGCCACGGATGCAACGGATCCCACAGTCTGTTTGCACTTGCAAATGACAAAGGCCATCAAATATATTCAAATTCCATGTATAATCATGTGTATATATATATTTAGCTAAATGATTTAAATTGATCAAAGTGATTTATTAGTATTATCTTATGATATCATATCATATCATATCAATATATAATTTCATAATATCCAATACCTGTAGTTAACTCTTCTGTGCTCGCTCTATGAATGTGCTGCCAATAGAGGTAGTCAACCCATGAATTACGAATCATGACCTATGGACAGCCTTTGACAGATTTGACCTGAACTCCGGGCCACTGCAATGAATCCTCATGGATTCCCATGGATCCCCATGGTCATTATATTCAATGCACAAATCCATCCTATATCATCCTATGAGATGCTTTCGAACCAAGTAGCGCATAGGACTCATCTGTGATAAATCGTCTTAGAAGAGATGATCCAGGGTCGAAAATGGCCAAGTCGGTCTGTCCAGTCACCCAGGCCCTCAGCGGTACAACATGGTACAACTATCAGTGGCACAAATAGAGGAATATCGCGGAAAATCAAGCGACATGAAGCGATGCAAAACTGAAGCAACCCCATGCGTAAAGGATCAGGTAGGAAGGCCACAACTGAGGAAAGTTTGGGGATCTGAATTCTGTAATCCTAAAACCAGAGCCCTGGTTGGACAAGTTCAAGCAATGTGAGCAGCTCAGACCATTCAGACCAATTACAATGTTTCTCTGGCAAGTATGCCTGGGTATGTTACCCAGCATCTCTTAGGCATAGTAACGGTTCCTAAAAGCACACTGTCCTGACTGTCCTGCTAGGTCCTACTATGTCGGCACTGATGCACAAAGTCTCCCTGAGTTCCCAAGCATGGACAGCATGGATATATGTAGTACGATATCGGTAGTATCGGGTCGTTTGCGACAATTGGCGTGCGCATGTGGGCGTTCACACACGCTTGCACCAAGAAGGCTTCAGATTGCGAGCAACACACCAAGCTTTATCACTGACTTGCATACACTTCCCCTTTTCCTTCTTTATAAGCAGTCCTGTCAAAACAAGCCCATAAAGGTAAATTGAATTGAAGAGAATTAACAACAACAACAACAACAACAACAACAATTTTAATCAATTTTAATGGCAACCAACTTTACGTTGAAGGCGCTTTGGTTTCACATGCTGTGGATCAGTTAAGTGAGTCAAGTGTATGGTATTGCAAGTAAGTCCTGCATCATATATATATACAATTGCATCATTGTTTGATGCTACAGTATGTGCGACAAGGTAAAATTTGCAAAGCTTGGACTTGCCTCTCCTGCGAGCCTCCATATGCTCCATATTCTCCATATCCCTCATCATCCCCATCCCCTTCCGTTTTCTTCTATTCTATATGTCACAGACATGTCACTACATGTCCCCCTCATCTCCTCGAGCTCCTGCTCGCGAGTCTTTGTCTTAGAAATCGGCGCAGGGTATTCACTCAGAATTCTGCATCGGTGCCATTAAAACAGAAAGATAAACATGAACAACCTGCACTTCATCGAAAAGTGCTCTACTTGTGAAGGGTGACCACACAAACACCATTCCAGTAATTTTTACACCGAATTCAATGTTCCAACATGTTCCAACGCTGTTTCTCGGAATGGACATCCAAACATCGGAGTGCAGCAGACTTTTGTTTGCAACATTGCCGAAACTCGAGTAAAGGCTTGACACGTCAATTGCCTTGACACTCTCTTTACCGATTTTGATCGTGCACATTCATGGGCTAATATCTAATAATGAATATCAAGTACATCTTTTGCAGTCAACTGACCTCTCGTGGCCTCATCTCTTCTGCCACCTCGAGGTCAGGAAGGCAACAGAAAACTATTTAGGTTTGGAACCCCGTTCAGCAAATGCTGCTAGTATCAAGAAGGTCTTTGATATTGTTTGATTGTGTTTGTACATGGTGGGGCTGCATTCAATGGAAATCTCTCAATTTCATGTTCAATGTTGGAGACTAATTACTGTATCTTTGTTTTTGCCTGGTCAATGTGACGTCTGGCACGTTGACGCCATGAGCACAATGATGCCGGCACCATGACCATGCGATGCTAAAGATCTTGCACTCAAGGTGCATTAGGCCTGTGGCTGTCTAAGGTCAGGCCAACGAGACAACTCTGGCTGGTGTCACCATCGTCATCAATTCATCAAATTTTGGAAACAGTTTCTAGCAATGTGACAAACGATAGATTGTGACAGATTGAACCATCTGAAAATTACCCATGTTTGAACACATACTGACAGGCCTCTGACAGCCGTCGGCCACAGTGTCGGCAAAAATTTGCGTCTGCCCTGCAGCAGGTGCTGCAGCGTGTGAAGCATTGTGAAAAAACAAATGGCCCGGAATTGTTTTGGGAACTATTTTTTTCCGTTTTGTTTTTTTTAATCTCCTGTCCTGTCCGCTTCCCTTGCAATTTGCAACATTTTGGAGCTGGAAACTATCATTTCAACGGCGTTGTGCAACATTTTGAAATTCGAACTTTTCATTTTCCGTGACGTATTTGCAACATTTTGTGCTCGAACTGTTCATATGCATAGTATTTCGCAAGTTCATTTAGGGTTGGCCGAAGGAAGTTTTAGAAGTCCAACTTCCGACAAAATGGACAAATGAAGCAGCAGAAGTGGGAAGAGTCAGAGAAGAGAAAGGAAGAAGAAAGAAGAGCAGAGAAGAAAAAGAGTCAGAAGAAAGAAGATCCGGGTGCGCGAAAAGATAGAAAAGTCGCGAAACACAATTTTGTTCAATGTTTTGTGGCGCCGGAGGTTCGAAATTTGGGCTGGGGTGCGGAGACATCTGTTCAGATGAGAGATCAAAAATTGCATGCCCCTCTGGCAAACTCAAAATGCTAAAAAACATTGTTTTCGTTTTCGGAACACTTTTGGAAGTTGAGATGTCGAAAAAGTGCACAGCGCTGTGGTGTGAAGCACATTTCCAAGTAAAAGTAATCAAAGCACTTCATTGTCGGAGCACTTTTGGACGTTGAAGATATTCAAAAAGTGCACGCCGCTGTGGCGCGAAGCACGTTTCGAAGTCAAAATGTCAAAAAACTGATCAAAACTGAGCCAAACGTGTGGGTGTTGCAGCAGTTGCAAAAACGATGGCAGGCGTGGGGCGTTTCAAGAGGATGTGTCAGGATGATCCAGGCATCATGTGGCAGGCGCAGTACAAGAGACATATCCAGCAGACATGTTAAGAGGTCAGGGCGCTGATTTCCTGAGAAGGGTTGCATTTTGGACTATCACATCTTCAGGCTTGCTAAGATGATTTTGCGTGACAGGCGCCACTTCGTAGGACCTAGCTTTATTTCTTTGTGGCAGGCGCAGTATTAGAGAGATGGGACGGAAAAATCGCAAAACCAATTGGTACGAGGCCATCAGCTCTGCACTTCAGTTTTGAAGGAAGTCTCGCAGAATTGCTTATTTTTTCTAGATGTTTTCAACATGAAAAATAAAGAAGTCTTGCTGATTTTCGTCGTTTTGGAGCTGTCAACTTCCGTTTTTGAAGGGAAGTTCTGCGGAATTGCTGGGTTTTGGACCTGTCAACTTGAATTTTTGAAGGAAGTCTCGCATTATTCCTTCGTTTTGGATGGATGGATAGATAGATAAGAAAGAAAGAAAGAAAGAACGAAAGAAAGAACGAAAGAAAGAAAGATAGATAGATAGACAGACAGATAGATAAATAGATAGATAGATAGATAGACAGACAGACAGATAGATAGACAGACAGACAGATAGATAGATAAATAGATAGATAGATAGATAGACAAACAGACAAATAGATAGATAGACAAACACTGAAGCTCGGCAAAACTATTTTTGACCTTGATATACATACCTACAACTACGTACACATATATATATATATATAACACCAACATACACCAACAACAATTACATACCTATTTGTAGTATACAGTATACGTAAGTATATCCGTTGCCTCATCACTACCTATATACTCCTTACACCCGACCCTACATATAATATACTACTACCTACACATCATACTATATACACTATATCCATATATACTTCCTGCAAACTCCCATAAACTCCCTAAATACTTTCCATGTACTCCCTGTAAACTGGACATCAAGCACACGCAGCATGTAGCCTGCTCATACAAACTGTATCTTATAGGGTTTGTTTGAGACGCAAAAAAAGTAAGGAAAGCAGAAAAGCAGAGAAGCACAGAAGCAGGGAAAAGCAGAAAAGCAAAAAGCAAAGAAGCAGAATTCTTGGAGAAGCAAACAAGCAAAAAAGCAGAAACGCAAGAAGCAAAGAAGCAGGGAAAAGCAGAAAAGCAAAAAACAGGGAACCAGAAATCCAAGAAAAAAATCCAAAACAAAGAAACAAATCCCCAAGAATAGCCATCGCATTTTTTCCCCTTTATATAACCTAGACACTGGACACGCAGTGGTTCTCTGCGGTCATGGTCTTGTCCTTTATAAAATGATTGTCGGTGTAGTAACTAGTAGAGTGATTGAATGCAAAGACCAGCCAAATAGCTGTCTTCTGTTGTCTTGTGTTTTTTTTTTCGCATCTTTGCATCGAACAATACCTAATGCACCGCATGAGAAGCCAGGCTGCGAGGCATACTTGAATATGTTGGACCTTTCTGATCCTTTCTTTGCGACGGATTGAAAGACTGCTAAACACAATTAAGATCAATTAAGCACATACCCACTATCCAACTCTTAAAGGTCTTCATGTCCATTGAAAGAAACGAACTGTGTATGCAACTGTGAACCGCTAACCCATACCATGCGGGCTTCTGTGCCAAGAGACAGAAAGAAGTTGCCGCAGTCAGGGCATCTAAACTCCTGCAACATCGCAACTCGCAGTCTATCTCTAGATCATACCGATCTAGAGAACCATTCGATCCTTTTCGAGTTCCATGATGAGCCACTTGCACAACATCGGTGCGTCCTGTGTGATGGTACGTCACTCAAGCCCCAAAGCGTTTGATCGAATTAGATGACACTACAGACACTACATTGAACTCGACATATGATCAGTGTTCATTCTCCCAAAAAGTCCGAAGAAGCCCCCTTTCAAACATACACAAGATGGAGTGCGGAGTGCAGTTCAAAATCACGCACTGTAAATCGTTGCTGCAACCTTGCAGGCAGACAGACTCCAAGTCTTGAAACCTCTACATGCAGGACACAGTGACTATAAGCCTCAACTTCTGGGTACACGATAAAATTTCATGGAGTATATGCACAGTGCTTGGCTGATGGAATGACATCACCGTGAAAAATGAAGAGCAGGACAGAATTTGCATCAAAAAATACTGTGACCTAGTGCAAGCTCAAGTGGAAATGAAGCGAAGTCAGGCTTCGACTTATTGTGCCATTTGAGATGCCATCAATGGCTAGCTATCTGAAGACACACCACACATGATAAACTTAAACACATTTAAACACAGTGTTGTCGAGAACATAGATCCAGGGCTCAACATGCTGGACTTTCGAAGTCTTGAGAGGGAATAAAGCAATACAAAGCAATATAAAGCACCCTACTTCAAACCCTTCAGAGTCCGGATGAGTCCGGATATTCATGTGTTACAGTAGGAGATGCCAAGAGCCGCCCCATCATCTCCAAAGCTTTACAGTAGCCGGAGTGTGTATCCACACTACTTACTTTGCTTGCTTGATGGGGTGGTTGTACATCCCAATCAACTCAAAGTCGGCTGCAAATCATGAACTCCTCTGCCGCATCCAACTTTTTTCGTCGCTATCAACCCCTTGCTGCTACGCCAAGGAACCTCTTCTCTGCAGTTGTGACATCGTGCAACTCTTTCAACACTCCAGGTAGAAGTGCCAAGATGCTGTAATGATGCTGTAATTACTTGTCATCTGTTCAAAAAAACATATTCCAGTCTGATGCGTGTTCCAATCGACAGGAAATTGTATAGACATGAAAGACATGAATGAACAATATTCTAAACTTGATTGATTTGCAAGGTAAACAAAGCAATATTCATTTGATTAGAAGTGTCTATGTATAGGGCTCCTCTCGTGTTTGCTTAGGAGTCATTTCTGGTAGCATTAAGACTTCTGATTTCCTCAAAGGCAAGTGGACAAAACAGCCACCTCAGTCAGACATGATATGTCAGGTGATGTCACATGTAATAAAGGTTCTGGAACTCGATGAAATCTCCACCTTTCCAGGTCCAGATCCATGCAGCATCATGCAACATTGAAACTGCATGGTTGTGATCCCGTTGCCTCTTCGATGCTATAATTGCATGCAGCATGTCTGTAGGTGCAAACAAAGAACTCTTTCTGGTACATGATGCACCTGTATGGATGGCTAGCCAAGAACCCTACTGCATCGTACTCACCTGTGAAAAAACACCTGCCTGTTTGCAAGCCAACTAGTCACTAGGCAAACATGCTCAAACTTAGCCTATTCAGAGCGTTGAGTAAAACGGGCGATCCTTGTGATGCCCTTTCTTTAAGGGCATGCCACGATGTCAATGGTAGGTAGAGACTTTGCCACCTTCCATAACCAGTTCGCAACGATGTAGCTGCTGTGTTTTTTTTCTTCGTAGGGATCTCTGAGACTCTTCACTGAAAACTTCACTCATACATTGCCCAGCCTCTCTGTAGAGTTCTCTCAATACAACACAATTCAATACAACGCAGGTCTTCTCGTTGCGAACTTCACAAAGCGTTGACTTAGATCGATCTTCGGCACTTTGTGCCTTTATAGTCGGAATTTGCGCATGCAGGATGTGCGACAAAGGGACCGGCAAAACCTTGGCCATCTGACATATTGCCCACCTGGTGGCAACACCTAGAATTGAAACCTTGGCCATGTATATATTATATAAAATTATATAAATATGTGTGCTAAATACTGAGCTCGAACATCAGAAGACAGGTAGAGTATAGGGGAACAACGCAGAATTGCTGAGCCTTGCAATGGTCATTGACCGGACTGAACTTCAATGTACAAATGACTCACCACTTTGAAATAGACCAATCAGATCTAATCATGCCTGCTGATTAGGCTGGCCATGGCTGCAAGAATTTCAAGCAGTCCGGCAACTCCCTTTTTTCCACTGTGCTAGTCCTGTTTTGACGAAGATCATAAGAGACTGAGACTTTGCTTGCAATTTTCAGAGCAAGTTTATACCAGGAACGACATGCTGCCTTGTTCCAATAACAAAATGAATCCAAACTATGTGGAAATGCACAACATGCAAAACAAACATGCTGTGGTGTACGGACTTCTGAGCAACCTGGATGAAATAGAGGTGTCTCCATGCGTAGACATTGTGGCATGTACGAGTAGGAGTTGCAGTTGCAATCATGACTTTTTCTCAGTTGTGGCCTGTCCCATTAAATCAAACGCTACGAATCTACGGAAAGTTGCGTCCACTGCCGCTTTGGGGAGTGGGCGGCTCACTCCATGGGGAGCGGCGTAAAGGTCGGATGTGAACTCCCGCTACTCCTGTAACAGCCAACGGACTGTTCTAAGGTATGCCAGTCACTGGTGACTTCAAAGGTCAAAAGCACACACGCAATTGGAATCACTTCTGCTTTCTCTGAAGTACAGTCTCACTATATAATGACAGTATCCTGAAATTCTGCTGCTGCCTGTGTGGAGTAAACCAGTTTTCCCTTTTAACACATCGGTTCATGTCCATATTTTCTGGACCCCCTTAAAAGCCGGAAAACCCAGTTCATGCAGTACACTAGCACCAACAGCAACGTGGTAACTTTAAATCCTTGGCATGCAAGTGCATAAGGTGATCACTACTACAGTCAATAACCTATCAAACTTAGAGCCCGAGTCAGTCACAGTGTTATGTCCCATGTCCTCCAAACGCGGTGCAAAGCGAAGAAAGTGAGGGAGCCAGCAGCCCATGCCTGGACGCGGGCTGATCTGCTTGAAGATTTCATGCACGCCCAGTATTGTGAGATAGTCTTGGAAATTGTCTTGGCTTCGAATAAAGTTAAGGTAAGTACTGTGTAATTTTGTGTAATATATACAGTACTGGATCATCAAAGTCTGTTGACCCTGCCCCTATGTTCTTCCCAGGTATATGGGGACAGTCTGCGGACAGTTCGTTCAAATGTATTCATCTCCAAATCACCCTTTATTACCCCTAACCTAGTGGGAGGGAAAGCAACCCACACCATCCAATCACATCCAATCACAACGGTTTGGTCTTTCAAGAGGCGTCCTGAGCAATTACATCAAAGGCGCCCACAGCGATCCTACAAAAGGTGCCCCGACCACCCCATGACCCAAACTTGGACCAAACTCTACCCTTCGATCCAACCCCAACCCCGAAACCTGAAGGTCTGAATACAGTGCGAAATGTAAATCTTCCAAAATCATGCACAGTTCATTGAAAAACAACAAATACTATGAGCCACACACACACACACTCTATAATATTAGTCACTACAATTTGAAGCACATCACCAGTCCTACAAAGCTGTGTTGAGGGGTGACCATCACACGAACGTGATGAGGTTCATGTTGTGCACCAAAGAACGGTTTGATGACGGCTTCCTTCCGAGTCCAGCAGTTTCCCTTCATGCTTTCTCTTGTCTTCAAGTCTTAACCATTTCAACTGGGTGCGACTTGTGCAATTTGTAACAGAATCCAACGAATTAGGAAGTGAACCTTTTGCTGTATGCCTACAATGAGCCTGCTCACCACCCTGTCATCATCGCAAACATTCGCAAAGAACGTGTTCTTCGAAGACACACACACAAAGGTTGCCTTTGTTTCTCGATGTTTCTCGTGTGTATGGAAAGAGATTCCAGATATTTCCACCAATGGTCAAACCAGCACAGCCGACTCCGACCATGACTTCCAAGGCCCAAACGCCAAGGATTTGGAAGAGTCGCTGGCTTTCCAAGCCTTGGACGAAACTATTGGCTCGAGAAAACGGGTAACTGCTTGAAATTGCTTGAGTGGCTTGAGGTCAGGAAGAGTCAGATGAATTCCAGCTTTGAAATGCAATGCGTTCTGGCCAAAAACATGTCGAAGGATTATTCAAGTTCAATATTGTTTATTCAGTATCGCACCTGAAGGTCGCATAATGTTACATCTCTTTCTCTTACCCGTTATGCATTGGGAAAAAAAACTGTGAATGGATGTGAATGGCACAAATGGGAGACAGGCAAACTTTTCGGTCAGGATTGTGTGGGCACCAGCAAAGGTGTCAATGTTCGAAAAATGTTCAAGCATGTTCAAGTAACATCACAATTTTTACTGGGACATGTCTGTATATTGAAGCCATGGGGACATGTATACATTACTCTGCAGAACTGGAAACGCCTTTCCGCATTGCTCACTAGGATCGTTTCTTCCTCGCTGTACCATATGCGCAGAGATGCACAGTTGAATTCAAATCGCAGTCTCATACTTGACCAAAGAGTACCAAAGTTTCAGCGATCCCTGATCTTCCACTTTCTATTTTGCAGCCAAGGAACTCTGACTTCGAGCAACTAGGGAATCTAACCTGGCACGACAAATATACTCATTCCAGCGATGCCCAATGTGTAACCCAAGCGGCCGAGTGCAGGCATGTTCCAGCTACACTGTGATGTTTATTTCGCGGGCATTGACGTTGTTTGCCATTATTTGACATTGTTTGCCATGCAGTCTTGTGATGCATCGACATGCCCGCTGGCCTCTTTTGGGCTTGAACACTATCGTCCTGACCCACCTTTTTCTGCGCCTGGAAAAACACAATAGCGAAGAAATTGAAGGCCCCTGTGCCTCTTTGGTGCACGTTTGTATTTTTCTTGGTACTTGCGACACAGACTCATCCTGGACCCTGTGTGTGGTACAATATACCATACACCTCTGCTTTTTACGCCCCTCTACGTCTCCGCAAGGTTCTGTCATACCATGTCCATGTGTTTGTCTGTGTTTTGTTTGTATTTTGTTTCTTCTATCCTACTAAATTGTAAATTCATCTAAATTCCTGCCTGAAGTCTGAAGTGCCGCTCTTCTTCGCAGCCCTCACGAGGCCTTGGCTTTTTGGTAGCGGCCGCTTTGCAGAAAGGAAACTGTGCCAACGAACCATCGACATCCATTAACAATATTTAACAATCATTGCTCATCTCAGGCATGTTCCAGTACTTTCACGTACCAGTACTTTCCAACGAGACGCTGAGACTCTAAGAAATCCGCCGGCCCCGCCGACGGCAAGGGGGAGAGCGTCACAGCCAGGGGCAAGAAATGATGAGAGAAAACTGCAAGAGCCAGAGAGAGGGAAGCAAACAAAAGAAGAAAGCAAGGAGCAAGAGCAAGCGATCAAGGCGGAAGCGAAAAGAGATAAGGAAGACGAAAGCAAGCCGACGGACAGCAGCAAGTTTCAAAGCAAGAGACAAGGAAGAAAACACCAGGTGCACGAGTAAGGAGGCAAGAGAGCAGCAAGATGAAAGTAGGTAGGCTGGCGGCAGGACTTGGTTTGGTTGGCTAGCACCGGGCAGCAAGAGCAAGAAGGCGAGAAACAAAAGCAAGAATGGAGGAGAAAGCGGCGACAAGAGCAAAAAGAGAACTAGCTTCTTGATCCCCCTGTGAATTTCCGCATGGTGTTGGGCGCCAAACCAAAGCGGGTAGTACCCACATGGTATTGAGCCTCTACAAAGTTCAAAGTGGTACAGTACAAAACCAAACCCTACCCAATCAAGGGTTAAACCAAAATTACCCCACCGTAGACCCCAAACAGTGGGTGGATTCATGCAACGTGCCTTGGAAAAAACTCTGAATTTGCAGTTCATTTTTCCAACATTTTCCAACCCAGTTTGAACTTTGTAGAGGCTTCCTCTGTCACATTTTCACGGGCCCCACCCTTCCAAATCCAATTCAGTACTGCGCGCAGACATTCCAAAGGTATCCAAAACAGGTATCCAACAGACATTCAAAATACACATACAGCATGATACAGTACATGTCAAAAAGACGCACAAAACATATCCCAACACATATTAAAAACATTTCCAAATACACTTCAAAAGCATGTGACACATCAAGTTCAAAACATGTAAAAAAACATATCCAAAACACATTGGTTATATTATTTTTCACTTTTTAATATGTTGCACAAGCAGCTTTTTCCTATTTACCCACCATAAACGTGACATTTCTCATCTTTTTCGTTGTGGCCCTCCCGTTGTATTACCCCGTTGTAGGCTTCCCCGGCGTTGCCAGGGCGCAGCTTTGTTGGGTCGAAGTCCACGAGCCGTTGTGTCTCCCCCCGTTGTGTGTCCCGGTGGCTTTGGCGCGTGGAGGTGCGCCCACCGTTGTGAAATGAGAACTGGTAAGATTAAAAAAGAGCAGAAAACGATACAGACGATAAGATCCTTATCGCCTGTATTTCTTTGTATATGTGCATTTAGTTTATTTTTAAAAATAACAACATAGTAGGTTTATGCTGTCTACACATGTTTATGTTATGAGAAATGTGAAATGATAAGGTATGATAAACATGTGTTCTTTTTATATCTGTTTATATAATTGTGTATTTTTCGGTGGTTTTGCCATGTTTTGACTCCTGCATCACCAATCTTGACCAAAAAACATACAGTAACAAACAAAACGGGCCGCTACAAAGTTCAAACCCTTGCGCAACATGACAGCAGGCAAGCCTACAAACTTGAACTGGTTTCCTACAATATCAGATGCCCCCACTACAAAATGCGTTTTCAGCAGGTTGCTATATTTCATGAGAAAAGTAGGGAAACCAATAAAATGCGTTTTCAGCAGGTTGCTTTTCCATGAGAAAAAACAGGGAAACCAAAAAAACTGTACACAATTTCAACCAGCATGGTATACAAAAAATCCTTCTTAAATATCCCCCTATTTTTGACATTTTTTGGCTACCAGGTTTGAACCCTCTACAAAATGCTCTGGCTTCTGGATGTCGACATCCGAGCTTTGTAGAGGAAATAGGCAGGGGGATGTTTCTTGTAGGTGCAGAAGGGCAGCAAGAGCAAGAAGGCGAGAAACAAAAGCAAGAAACCAGGAGAAAGCGGCGGCAAGAGCAAAAAGACAGCTAGTTTACCCAAGTTATAGGCGCTGCGCCCCCTGCCGCCGACTCACCCCGGTTCACCCCCGACCGACTCCGTGTCAACTGAAGCCCCTGTAATTTACGGTGTATTTTGCTTGCGATGTTACAAAACATCGTTTTTTTACGGTGTTTCGGGCCCTTAGGCAGCAAGGGATTTCGTCTTGGCGATGTTACAAAACCTCGGTTTTTACGTGGTTTTGGGCTCCAGGAGGGGGCCCGGGGCGGAAAAATTGGCTACGATCGTTTCAACATAGACGGCCCAAACATGGCTCCAACATAGCTCCCAAGATGGCTCATAGGGCCAACCTGGGCCAACATGCCCAACATAGGCCCAACATGGGCCCAAGATGAGCCCAACATAGCCCAACATAGGCCCAACCTGGGCCAATATAGGGCCAAGATGGGCCCGATGGCTCAACATGGGCCCGACTTGGTCCAACATACGCCCAAGATGGGCCCAAGATGGCTCAACATGGGCCCGACTTGGCCCAACATGGGCACAACCTGCGCTCAACATAGGCCCAGACTGCTTGCATACAGGCAAGCACTGCGCATTATGCCTGCCTCAGTTCAACCTTTAAATCCGGGCGCCGGCCACGGAGCCCGTGTCCTTGGCGGAGGCCTTCGGTGGTAACCGAAGGTTATAGGCGCTGCGCCCCTTGCCGCCGACCCACCCCCAGATCACCCCGTGTCGACTCCCCCACCTGTAATTTACGGTGTTTTTTGCTTGCGGTGTTCAAAAACATCGTTTTTTTTTACGGTGTTTCGGACCCTTCGCGATGTTACAAAACCTCCGTTTTTACGTTGTTTCGGACTCCAGGAGGGGGCCGGGGCGGAAAAATTGGCATCTTAAGATCGTTTCAACATAAATGGCCAAACATGGCCCCAACATAGCCCCCAAGATGGCTCAACATGGGCCAACATGGCCCAACATAGGCCAACATAGGCCCAACATATGGCCAACATGGTGCCAAGATTGCTTGGCCGGCGCCCGGCTGTCAGGGTAAGCCTTTGAATTTCGGCTCCGCCGGCTCCCCACGAGTGGCTTGCCCCACGACCGTCCCCAGAGCGACTAGGTGAGGCGCGCCCCAATGCGGAATCCGGCTCGCTCATAAGCGTCTCCAAGAGCACAACCCCGCCCCTCCCGTTTTGAGGGTACCTAAAATCAGAAAAAAGTCCCGTTTTGACACATTTTTCGGACGATTTTTAGCTTTTCGAAACTAACAAAATGCTATAAATTACAGCATTTTTGCGTTTTAATGTCTTTTGCGGGAACCATGCAAAAACAAAGAAAGCGTTGTAAATACCAATACTTTTTGGACTAAAGATGCACAAAACACTGCAAATACCAGTGTTTTTGAAGGCAAAGCAAAAAAGCATTGTAAATTACAACATTTTTGGCAAGTTGATTGCAAAACATGCTGGTATTTACACAGTTTTTGGAATGTCAAGAAAACGTGGAAGGCACGAAACACTGTAAATAGCGGTGTTTTGGCCACTCTTGGACGCTGAAACGGCGCTTTTTTCCCCGTGATAGTACCAAACCCTTGTAAATTACAGCATTGTTTGCGCTTTTTGAACCGATGTTTTGCCTTGATGAATGCAAAAAACGCTGGTATTTGCACATTTTTCAAAAAATCGAAGATCGTGACGTGGACGAAACCCTGTAAATAACAGTGTCTTATCCTCTTTCTGGGACTAAAACTGTGGTATTTACGCGGGTTCTTGCCATCTGACAGCGCAAAATGCTGTAAATTACAGCACTTTGTGCGCTGTTTATGTTCATGTTCAATTTTTAACGAGCGATGCTTTCACATGTTCTTGGCATTCTTCAACAAGAAACGACGCGACAGAGTGGCCTGAAAGAAAGCTGGAGAGAGGAGACGAGAAGATAGCACACAAGAAAATATGATGATGAATGCTACTGGTGAGTAGCTTTTACACAGACGCGTCCACACACAGAAGCTTTTGCGCACAGAAGCTTTTACACACACACACAGGGGCTTTTACACAGAGAAGTTTTTACACAGAGCGGCTCTTAGACACAGAAGCTTTTACACACAGAGGCTTTTACACAAAGAAGTCTTTATACAGACTGGCTTTTACAAGCAGAAGCTTTTACACAGAGAGAAGTCTTTACACAGAGGAGCTTTTACTTTTACGCACAGAAGCTTTTATCAATGATTTTAAGCTTTTACACAGAGAAGTCTTTACACACAGACGCATTTACACAGAGAAGTGATTACACAGAGAGCTGTTACACACAGACGCGTTTGCACACAGAAGCACAGAGAAGCCTTTACACAGAGAACTTTAACACACAGAAGCTTTTACACAGAGAAGTCTTTACACTAAGGAGATTTTGCACACAAACGCGTTTACACTGAGGAGCTTTTACACACAAAAGCTTTTACACAGAGAAGTGATTACACAGAGAGCTTTTACACACAGACGCGTTTGCACACAGAAGCATTTGCACAGAGAAGCTTTTACACAGGAGCTTTTACACACAAGGGCGTTTACACCAGGTGCTGTTACACACAGACGCTGTTACACAAAGAAGTCTTTACACAGAGACAGCTTGAACACACAGGCGCGTTTACAGACAGAAACTTTTACACAAAGAAGTCTTTACAGAGAGGGCTTTTACACACGGAAGCTTTCACACACAGAAGTTTTTACACAGAGAAGAAGTCTTTACGCAGAGAAGCTTTTGCACGCAGAAGCTTTTTCACACAGAAGCTTTTACACAGAGTAGCCTCTGAGAAGCCTTTACACACTGCTGCTGGTGAGGCGCTTTTACACAGACGCGTTTACACACAGAAGCTTTTACGCACAGAAGTTTTTACACACACAGGGGCTTTTACACAGAGAAGATTTTACATAGAGCGGCTCTTAGACACAGAAGCTTTCACACACAGAGGTTTTTACACAGAGAAGTCTTTACACAGACTGGTTTTTACACACAGAAGCTTTTACACAGCGAGAAGTCTTTACACAGAGAACTTTAACACACAGAAACTTTTACACAGAGAAGTCTTTACACCAAGGAGATTTTGCGCACAAACGCGTTTACACTGAGGGCTTTTACACACAAAAGCTTTTACACAGAGAAGTGATTTCACAGAGAGCTGTTACACACAGACGCGTTTGCACACAGAAGCGTTTACACAGAGAAGCCTTTACACAGGAGCTTTCTGTTACACACAGACGCTGTTACACAAAGAAGTCTTTACACAGAGACAGCTTGAACACACAGGCGCGTTTACAGACAGAAACTTTTACACAAAGAAGCCTTTACAGAGAGAGCTTTTACACACGGAAGCTTTCACACACAGAAGTTTTTACACAGAGAAGCCTTTAGACAGAGAAGCTTTTACACACAGGCGCGTTTACACACAGAAGTTTTTACACAGAGAAATCTTTACACAGAGAAGCTTTCACACGCAAAAGCTTTTACACAGAGATGCTTTCACACAGAGAAGTCTTTACACAGAGAAGCTTTTACATGCAGAAGCTTTTACACACAGAAGCTTTTATACGGAGAAGTCTTTACACGGAGGCGCTTTTACACGAAGTGGAAAGTTGAAATTGGCAGCAATTCTTTCGGAAAAACCTTCGCAGGAGCTTTCGGGAACAAGCCTTCCCCACTTGCTCCAAGAAAAAAACCGCAGTTCCATGATTCCATGAATACTGTATGTTCAAACAAGCATAAGGAATATATTTCTGAAGCAGCAGGTCCTCATTCAATAGCTTTCAAGCCCACCCTGCGATGACATCGAGGGTCAAGTAATCCGGCGGAGCCGGCGATGAGCGTCAGCTCTAAAATATTTTGCCTGGTCAATGCAAATCCTTTGCTTTGGGCTTTGACAAGCACTCATTATTGCCTTCAGAAACTGGATTATGACATATTCAGTTGTATTGTAGATCCAGTTATATATAGGACGATATGAAACAATGTTCAAAGTAGTCATGGGCGTATGGGCAAAGTAGTGCAGACTAGGACGATATGAAACATGTTCAAAGCATCCTCCGAAACAATGCGTTGAAGTGGCATGTTCTGGCAACACCACTCAAACTCTGCACGATCCCATCCTGCACAAATTTTGCATGCAGATGCACACGCATTGCAGCAGAACTTCGAGACAAGTTTCTTCACTTCATTCAAACTTCTGCAACAGACTGAAGACAACTGCATGGAATTAAGACAATCTGCGTGTACATGAGTATAGAACAATGTACACCTAATCAAACGCCATGCATAACAGGGTTGGCCTCGGTGAGCAAACCAAACTAATGATGTCAATGTCAATACTGCTATGTAGCAACTTGAACTACAATTGCACTATTGTGCTTTTCGAGATTTTTTCCATGTTTTTCCAATTTCTTTTGTGGGTCTCCCGAGAAAACGGAGCTGAAACCAACAACAAGGACCCCATGGAACCCTTTAATTCAAAGTATTTTCCGTCCAGTCCTCTGGGCGATCCGCTGCATGCAAACTGCCTCAAGGTGTTCAAACACATTCAAACATACGTATTGACGTATTGAAAAATACTGCTTTTGGCAAATGCTCGGTCATGCTCGGTCACTACCTCCCTTGCTGGAGCCACAGTATCCAATAAAGCACAACATGCAAGATATATCTGACAAACGTGAGCAGGGTTGTGGAGATGGCGTATGAACATATATGTTTCAAACAAATACCAACTTTTTCAGAGATAAATTAATATTATATAAATTTATATATACATATATATTAATAAATATATTTGTGAAGAGCATTGCGTTTGCTGCCCGGTACTCAGGAAACGACGGTCTAATGTGCTGGAGCTTCTGCGGTGGCTCAGCCAAAACTTGAAGATGCCGACTGCGCCCTCAAGCAGTGACTGCTTGTGGCACATCCCAGGTTGCACAGAGTAACGACACATCACATGACATAATATATATATAAATAAATATATATATATAGCCACAATCAGTAGCCTTAATGTCCTGCCACCCTGTTCCGCCACCCTTCCTGCACCACAAATCATAGGTTTTGGTATCGGTTTGCTCTTCCAGATGTTTAGCAGGCAGTGGGTCTCTCAATATATCATATAATATCATGACATGGCTTTCGAAGCAATTCTAAGACCCAAAAACAGGCAAAGAAGAGCAAACACACTCACTGTCAGAACTGTATCAGGGACACGCAAACCATTTCTCCATGCCTGTGGTTCCAGCTCCACATGTGACACTACCTCTGGTGAGCTGGCAGCTAAAACGATCAGAACAAAACATGATTTCCGAACGGCTCTAATTATGATCTTTTGACGGTAGGAAAGGTGTGTGTTTGGGTATGACAATCTATCAGGATCAAAGGAAATTCACTACAGGAGGGAGCGCTTGCATTCTTGTGGAATCAAAGGTTCTATTCTGTTCGAACAGTTGGACCGTCGGTACCAGAACCGGATACAATTGGCTGCTTGGAAAGGTCTTCAGAAATGTCTGGAATCTTAGTGCGACATGTAGGACAATCTTACATTGACCTTTCCGGAAGATGCCCGGTACTCTGGAAAGGCAGTGGCAACTTGACCGTGGTTGATCTTTGTGAATTCATCCTGAGGTCCCCAGCACTCGGACCAGGCTTTCCAGTCCGCCCAGCCCTGGACAAAGATGTCTTGCTCCAGTTTTTGGACATATACTGTACACGGTGGACACTGTCGTCACCGTACAACGCCGCAGCTGCTATGGCTCCCTGCATTTCTGGACATTTACCGTTGCCCTATAAGATGTTGTGGACACTCCAGTCAGTCAAGCTTTGTTCAGTCACAAGACAGGTCGTCTCAACATGCTTTGGACAAGCAAAGGCAAGAAATTGTTCCTTCAGCTTTGCATTTGCAAAGAGGATTTATCATGACTCAGTGACCAAGAACCGGACACAATATGTCTGGGCATGACCTCAGCAACTCTTCACAATGAAAGATAAGTACTAGATTACTAGATCGATTCCAAGCTTTCCCGTTTGGCAGTCTGCCACTCACACTGACGCGATCACCTCTAACTTAATTGATAACTCTAGAAAGCCAACGCAGAATGCTGATCTAAGTGAATAGGGAAACATGATAAAACCTATATATTATATAAGTATCTGTTCGTGGACGTCAAGAAAGGATGTCGCTTCCGCATCATTTTTTCCCAGAACCCTCATCTGACTCCTAATAGCAACCTGAAAGCTACCCACCCTATTGGAAAATGGTTGTAAAAAAAAACCATGAGAAAGGAGGCGTTCTGAAAATCTACAGAGAAATGAGGATGAAAAAGTCTGACTATGAAGACAGCTATGAAGAAGCTTATACCCACCAGAACCAAAAAGGTATGAGAAGTGTAAGCTTTCCAGGTATTTCTAACGTTTCTAAGTGCCAACTGACACTGACTATTACCATACTATTAGCATACTATAATAAATGTGTAATATATTGTAATTAACCATACTATAATATATTATGATTGAATATATATATATATATATATTTCACATTAATTCACATTAATTCACATTACTGTGCCATTACTTCAGGAGTCCAGCAGGCTTCTCAGTGCCACACAAAAACGCGGACATTTTTCCAGCTGCTCGGAAGCGCCAGGCCTTCAGAGTCTCTTAAGTTAGGCACTTCAAAACATAAAATAAAATGAATATATAACATATCATATTACCAGTAGTACCGCACAAGGCGGTGGCGGAAGTTTCAGAATAGGAAACCTATAGGAGACGTTGGTTGTTGTGAATCACGGATGGCAGAGCGAATCCACTGATTGACCGAAAGATGGTTGGAGTTGTGTTTGCTGGAGTGGTTGCAATGGTTGCAGTGGTCACCTCACCCACAACTGCTGGATGTAGTGTGATGTACTGCAACTGTAGTTGTAGTTGTAGCGTAGTGGAGTTGTAGTTGTGGTGTAATGTAATTAGTGTAGTGTAGCTGCAGTCATATAGTTGTAGTTGTAGTTGTTTTGTAGTTGTAGTTGTTGTGTAGTTGTAGTTGTAGTTGTTGTAGTTGTAGTTGTAGTTGTAGTTGTTGTAGTTGTAGTTGTAGTTGTTGTTGTTGTAGTTGTAGCTGTAGTTGTTGTGTGGTTGTTGTTGTGTAGTGCAGTTGTTGTTGTAGTTGTAGTTGTAGTTGTTGTAGTTGTTGTTGTTGCTGTTGTTGTAGCTGCAGTTGTAGTTGTAGTAGTTGTAGTAGTAGTAGTAGTAGTTGTTGTTGTTGTTGTAGCTGTAGTTGTTATAGTTCTAGTTGTAGTTGTTCTGTAGTTGTAGTTGTAGTTGTAGTAGTAGTAGTAGTTGTTGTTGTTGTTGCTGTTGTTGTTGTTGTAGTTGTAGTTGTTGTAGTTGTAGCTGTAGTTGTTGTAGTTGTAGTTCTAGTTGTAGTTGTTGTTGTTGTGTTGATGTTGTTGTTGTTGTTGTTGTTGTTGTGGTTGTTGTTGTTGTTGCTGTTGCTGTTGCTGTTGTCGTCGAAGTTAGGGTAGTTAAGTTAGTGATGTTAGTTAAGTTAGTCAAGTTAGTTAAGTTAATCAGTGTCTACTTTCTCGACATCGTAACGTCAAAAAAGGCTCAAACCCATCAGTTTTTTACATTTTTGACTTCAAAATGTGCTTCGCGCCACAACGGCGTGCACTTTTTCGACATCTCAACTTCCAAAAGTGGTCCGAGAATGGGGTGTTTTGTACATTTTGACTTCGAAATGTGCTTCGCGCCACAACGGCGTGCACTTTTTCGACATCTCAACTTCCAAAAGTGGTCCGACAATGGTGTGTTTTATGCATTTTGACTTCGAAATGTGCTTCGCGCCACAACGGCGTGCACTTTTTCGACATCTCAACTTCCAAAAGTGGTCCG